GAGTGTGTTCCCCAGGGAAGGGAAGGACAGGCAGTGAGTTGGGGAGGTGGAGGAGCAGGAGACAGGAGGTGCTGGGGGGATGCTGCAGAAGCAACTGCCTGCATTCTCCACAACTTCCCAGGCCCACTGCCACCTCCAAAGGTACCATCCCCACAGGGTTTCCCTGTGGGGGTTCCCAGCACCTGGAGAGGCACAGCTTTGATCCAGTATTAATGTGTATGTTCTCATAACTGCATATACCAGCACATTATTTTCTTGTATGTGCCAACTTTAAATCTGAATTACTAAAAATAAACTCTCTAAATTCTTGGCCTACTTGAAGAAGCAAATAAACGTCAAGGTTAACTATCAACAAATTTGAAGTCCAGTGGATTAAGAAAAAGGCTTGAAGCTGTGGTTGCTACCAAGTGATTTTAGCAATACACTCAGTGTTGTACAGAATTATTTCAGTACAGAATTATTAAATACCCTTGTCTGTATTTTGTGACTGCAAGAATAGAATGATTGGTTTTATCCTGTAGCACTAAAAAAATTGTCTGGCAAGAGGGCCTCAGATACAAGATGCTTCACTTTGCTCATAATTCAAGAAGCAATAGTTTTGTCAATATAAATTATTAAAGAAAGCTCAGAAAAATTAGTCAGTCAAATGATGCTCATAAACAATACTCATCTATTACTCATCTTAATTTATAACACTTAAACAGCAGCAGAGCCTCCCATCCACACCTGAGATTTGTGTCCCACTGAGCTAGGCAGAGCATGTAACCTCAGTAAAGCAGACCTTCCCTTGAAAAGTTAATTATTTAAATCAATGCAATGTAGATGTATTTGGGAGGATGGCACAGAGGCAAAAAATGCAGCCGTCACCTCATTTTCCACAGGAGAAGCAGCAGCAGCAGCAGGGAGCAGCTGGTTGGCTTTTTGAGAGCTGCTGCAGAGCACTGCGGCGCATGCAGAAGAGAAACTCTTTACGTGCTGCCCCAATGCTCCAGTCATGAGGCCTGGAAACATCTTCAAGTCTGAATGCCTTCAAGTTTCCTCCTAGGAGCAATTATGCTGCTATCTCTCAGCAAAAAAGGGAAATGACCATGAGTTGCCTGGTATCTGCCAGATGGGCTAAATGGAGCAGTTTCTTCTGTTTCAGTCATACTATGGACTAGAATTGGTCTAAGGACCTGAAGCTTGTAATAATCAAATGCCAAAATAATAATTAAATTGGAAAATATGTACATACCTGTTTTAAAAATGGCCTTTTCACTGGGTAAGCTACAGCCTGTGCCATTCACAGCCATGACCCACACACTGTAGGAGTGATCCGGCTCCAGGTCCTCCAAAATGCAGTGGCTCTCCTTCACCGTCACTCGGTACTCTTCCACCAAAGCTAGGAGAACACACACATGCATGGGATGCCATTACTCATGTGTTGCACTGGTAGGGCCTACAATTGTGCCTCTCAACTAACATGAAAAAAAACCAGTCAATTAAAATAAACCAGAAAGTGTTACTAGCCAAGATCTCTGTATTTCACCCTGACTCAGTTTTGACAGAAAAGCCGAGTTTCTGATGTGCCCTTGGGTTGTGTGCACTCAAACCCCTTTGATGGCAAGGGGAGATTATGGCTCTCAGTCCTACCGAGGACTAGGCTGCAAATTCGGGACATACAATCAGCAGTTGTCAACCCTGCTTTCACTGCTCTATGATGTAACAATTTCTTATAATGGACTTTATAGCCCTGATCTATAAATTAGCTACTATAAAAAACCCTTAGCATCCTTTAGCATGCACACACCCTCACACACCCCCACATACACACATGGATTTGTGCAGAGCCCAGCTGGTTAAAGTGACTTTATGATCAGTCTGAGCTTCTTAATGAATGAGCACCTCACTCCTCTTTTCTCAATTTCATATTTAATGTTTGAAATATTTTAACGTAATTTTGGAAAAAAATCTTTGTCTACATGTGGAAATACTGATTATCTTTTCCCATTGTTCTTTTTATTAGAGCACATTTCTGAAGTACATGCAGGGCCCTAGAAACCTGATGAAGTCCATCCCTTTGGGCGCTCTATCTGCAGTCCCCATGAGTACCCATGGAGCAGTACCGATACATCCTCTCAGAGGTCTGGCTACTTCATAAAATGGCACCTCAGCAGAGATGCTGCTGTTTCTCTGCAAACAACTTCCCGACACTTTACAGACCATAATATTTATCCTGCATTGTGGAAGATAAAGGAGAGGAGAAGGAATGCCAAATACCTCATGCTTTCCCCCACTACTACCTGTCCTTAGTCCTGTGCAGGATGTCTTCACAGCCCCTCCTCTTTCTGCATCCTGTGCCCTCCCCTGTAGTCTGGCCTCCCCTCTGCTGACCCCAGATTAGAGCAGAAAGGACTCCTGCCATTATGAAGGGAAGACCTTACACACCCCCAGCATCTTTGCTGGCTGGCAGCTCCTCCATACAGTAGACTTGGAAGCAGTCGATGGCATCCCCGTCGTTCACAGCCCAGTAAACAGCAATGGAAGTGCTTGTGGCCGAATTTGGTTCCTGAGGTACGACAGTTGGTGTCTGTGGGACTGAGAGGAAAGTCTCCTGTTGTTATTCACATTCTTGTATTTTCAGCCAAATTACCTACAGGTTTGTGAGGCAAACTGGTTGCTTATTTTTGCTAAGGTTGCCTATTTCCACAGAACAAGTACAACAAGTACATGAAATACAGGTAATACTGGTGCAGTTTTAGAGCAATAATTCCTCCTAAACTAGGAACAGAAAAGTTAATTGCTCAGCCTTGGAATCTATCCATTTCCCTCACAGTTTGGACAAAATAAGCTCCAGTCCTAGTACTGGGACCACTTGAACAGCTGTTCATTTCTGACCTCTGGCAGTGAGGCTCCCAGGGTTGTGGCAATCCTGGACACACAGAGTCATCATACAACTCCAGTGATCCCTCTCCTTTGCCCAGAAGAGCTGCTCCCTTCAGTCACAGGGAAGACCTCTCCAGCTCTGTGTTCCACTTTGAGGTACTTGGGCTTATGAAACCCCAGGAGACTCCTGATAACTTCAGACCAACTCCTCAGAAAGGCCGTAAGACTCTGGAGTCTAACACGGACTCCTTCGGATGATCACCTTCTCCATTACCTGACCTTGCTTTACAGCACAGGCACCAGAGGAGAGAACATCTTGTGAAGAGGATGCTTATGAAAACAGAGACTGAAAGCACTTGTTTGTAGCAAATCACACAGGATAGGTCACTGATGGGGAGGGGGAGCCTGCAGAAGAAGAGTGTTTCGTCCAGAGACAGATATATGCAGCTGACCCCAGAAAGCTGGGCAGAGGAAAGGACCTGCCACACCAGGGAGTCATGCAGTGTGTCAGATCCACTGAGACTGACAGCAGCAGGGTTGTGCTTTAGGTAAAGGAAGGATCAGAGCTCCTGCACTAACAGCCAGGGCAGCAGGAAGCTCCCTGCAGCCTTTGGTCCATGCCTGCCCAGAGGTGGACTCCTGCCTGGCATGGTCATTTTCCCCACAGACCCAGTGGAGAAAAGATCCTCAGTGTGCAGGTGAACCCAAGCTCTGCCAAAGCACCTGAGCTTCATGGGACAACCAGGAGCATCCTTCACAAAGAGTGCTTCAAAGGTCTCCAAGGTTCCCCAAATTTCATATAAATTTTGTCTCCTGTTTGGCACAGATCCATCCCTGATGAGATATTGTTCCCCTCTATGATTATGGCTTAAAAGAGAGGGAGGGGAAAGAAAGAGTAAAAAGCCCCAGGAGATGTTCATTGTTAAAGTGATTGCAGGGAACGAAAATACATATTTCTATTTCTTCACTCAGTACATTTCCGTATTGCATGAATTCTCATAGAATCTCAGCAGAAAGCTTTTGCTTTTCTTCAGTTATCTTCACAGTAATGATGATGATGATCCCCTGTGGCATGAACAAGGCAAATGCAGATGCTGGTTGTTTCCTTATGATTTATACAGAGAGCTACCAGTACAGTAGGATTACATCTGCTTCCCATTGAAAAAAAATTATCCTTCTCTTTGCTAAGAACAATCTGCATTTTGCCTTTTGACTGTATCTAGAGCTGATAAATTTAAAAATTGATTGTCTTTAGGAAAAGTCTTCCTTTCAGTGGACCCAGCAGGGAAACCAGATTTTTTTTTTCCTGTGAAGTTGCTTAGGAACTACAATTTATTATCACAGAAATCCAACAACTGCAAGACTTACACCAAATCTGAACAGAAGCTAGCTTAATGAGTGAAACCTCTGGAAAAAAGGTTATAGATCAAAATTCAGTTTTGTTAACATTGAGAAACATTTGATTTCAAATTTCCTGTCACATAATATGAAACAAATTTTTCAAAGGAAGTAAGTTCAAAGCAAGAAGTTGAACTATTCTCTTAATAAACAGAATATGTATGTGTTATCAAAGTGCTGGTCCCTTTTTAAAGGAATTTTAGTGAAAGAAATTAGATATTTGTACCACAGGTTTGAACAAATCATATTTTTCAACAGAAAAGTGTGATATTTTCTCATCAGTTTTCATTGAAGTGCTGTGGTGTAAGGAAGCTTTTCCTTCATACTACCTAATCTCCGCTGCCTCCAGGAGAAAAAAATAATAATCCCAAATATTTTATGGATATTTACTCATTTCCACTGTAATGAGAAATAACACTTCCTTAGCTTTGTGGACTTGAAGAGGAAGAGTAGTTACATTCCTCTGTGACTTCAATGGAAAGTAGTTACAATCAGCAAAGGTCCTTGCCTTCTGGTATATAAGGGCAGGGCTCATGGTAGGCTTTGGAAACAATTTTACCCACTCTTCTTGTGTCACAGCCTGGGTTCTAGTATGCTCAATGGCATGCTGCAAGGGTTTTTTGTGCTTACGCATTTGTTAATGGGGTAGCTTACATCAAAGTAGGAAGAATTTGATGGAAAAGGGCTTTTCATTAGTGGATACAGAAAATTTGGAAATGGGGGCTATTTTGAAGGAAAGATGTTTCTGAAGTGGTGAAAATAAAGTCCTATGAAAGTGTTCATTAAAAGACTATACTTTCTGAAGGGAAAATATGTGGATTGGAGAAACATGGCAAATTCACATGCATTTCATCAAATGGCTTCAGTAAATCAAAATTCTGAGAGTGTCTGACATTTGACTCCAATATGTGACAAATTATGTACTCGAGGTGTTCAATTCCAAATAAACATTCATGTAGGTATTGACCTCTATTTTCCTTCAGGAAGGGTGTAATCTTGCAAAAAATATATATATTTTGTCTACTGTTCACCAAAGTAAAAATCACAATAGCAACTGAAAAACTTGGTAGTGAGAGTAAAGAATAAAAACCAGATATTTCAGAAAGAGAAAGACAAGTAAGTATAAAAGATGAGGAGCTTTGAAGTGGACAGTCATTCATTTCCAGTTTGTCAAAGTCAAGTTTGGTCTGGAGCTATTTGGTGTTCAGCAAACACAGTAGCTAATGCAAATCAAACTGAAAAGCATATCTCAGCAGCTTAGGGAAAAACATGTTGGAGTGACTTGTGGGAAAAGGAAATACAAAATACTTATACAAAATGAGTCCGTCCTCCTGAATGACCTTGCCAGTAGTTGGCAACCCAGGAAGAAAGAACAGTTGCACCCATGGGTCTGCAAGAGGGAGTTTAGGAACTAAAGCAAGACATATAGCACATTTGCACCACTGTCTGGCTGACAGTATGTTACAAAAAAGATCTTTTTATCCGAGTTCCTAAAGAAATGAGGCTGAGATAACACTGCATGGACAAATGGTTGTCCAACCTCACCTAAGAAGCTTTTATATCATTCAAATTCATACCAAGCTGATAAGGAAGTTAAGACCTCAGAGATATTCAGTTCCCCTAGGTCTCATAAAAGTAGTGATGCAGAGGAGAGAGACGATGTCCTCCCAGTGACACTGCTGAGTGCACTCAGCTCTTATTAGATACTGTAGAGTCTGTGGAGGATGGCACTTCTCCAACGTTCCATTAGGCACCTAAAAATCCAGCCAGGAAAATAAGCACCTCAGGGAAATTGATGCTCTAGTTCTACTACTCAGGGACCAAATGTGTGAGAAAGAGGCATCGTTTGAAAAAACATAGAGTGACCGTGATGCTGGTGGTGCATGTGATGGTAATGGGAGGTCACAAAGCATGACAGTGAGATGCAAGCTCCCAAAACACACCTTATCTTGAGAAAGAAGGATTGGAGTAAGACCTCACTATGAGGAATGAATCCACAAATTTGTGCTGACAAACTCTTAAATGACCACTGTCCAAATCCAGATAATTTCTATAGGTATATGTACAGGCAGAGCAGAATGCCCACACAGGCAGGCTATACACAGGATATGAAATATCATAGAGATGAATAAAACCCTTTAGCATGTGAAATTTTCACTGCTGCCCTCTGAAGCAGACACTGTTTCCAGCTACAGTTAACCACTTCCCCTTCATGTCCCATGGATATTTCAGGTGCTTCTATTCGCTTGGCACAAACCCAAGGACCTCAGCCACCAGCCAGGCCCCTGCCCTTCTCCCCACACCAGCAATGCTGGGTCTGCTCCCCTCAGAGGAAGAATGCTCAGGAGACCTTTGCCTCTGAGGTACAGATACCTTAAACGAAGCAAGAATCCCCCACTTTAGCACTTTTCCCTCTGTTGCTCATCTTAGTGTCCTACTATAAGCCAAACACTTGTGCACAATTAAGACTTCATTTTACATTCAACTCTGATTGCTAATTACATGGTTTGCAAATTTATACTTCTCAAATAGATTCTGTTTTTAGCTTCATAAATTTGCCAAACTATTGCCAAAATGTTAGCTTCTGTAAAGATGATATTCAGAGATGCTTACCAGCCACATGTTTTAAGGAGTGCTGGTTGCTTTGTCCTGGACTGTCCGCATAGTGCTCAAACAATGAAAAAGCACTGGGCACCTTTTCTAAAGAGAGAGTAGTATCCATTGCAGAAAGTAACCTATTTAGAAGAAAAACACATAGCCATAAAAATCCCTTGGGGTGTCACAGTTTCCAAAGGCCAGCAGAAAATACCATGCAACGTAAGCTTCTCTAAATTTTCCCATGAACTTGAGGACAACATGCAAGAAGAAGTTGTTTCCCTGGTTTTGAACATTTAGAGCAGACTCTGATTTCAGATCAGGAGTGCAGAGAGAGTGCACACAGTCTGTATACACTTGACCCGTGAGAACGTGAGAATTTGAAGTTCACAGCAGGAGTCCCAAGAGCACAGGGGTTCAGACTTACTAACGTACTGCCTTTAAAGGTTACAAACCTTACAGCTAAACTACAGCAGCTGACTCCGGGGACGTAATGTAAAGCAGCTGCTTGTGGCAAGCAAAAAAAAAAACCATGAGAAGGAAGATGGATTCCACTTAATTAGCCTACATTTGCTGAGTTCATTATAGGAAAAAATGCAACATATTTTTAACTCTGAGGCAGAAGCAGCTTCAAGGAAATGAATTTTTGTTTTTCCAAGGCACTTGAATTTTATCTTTCTCACCTTCTCTTCTTCAGTCACTAAAGTGGTCTATTAAGCATAATCTTAAAAAAGCACAACAAATATAAAATCTATTTTCTTTAGAATAACATGCATATAGACTTGTTTATATACTTGCATATAACCTTTTTTAGCAAGTCAGGTATTATCAAAATAATAACCAAACCCATGCACAAAACAGAATAAACATTTAGTGTGTAAGTTAACAAATAAAGACCAAGTACATAAAAACCCTTGTAAAATCATTTTATCACGTGGTACCTGCTCTATTCCTATGCAATAAACTATATGCAGTTAAGTGGCTGGATTGTCACATTTTGACTTAGAATGGGGAAGACCGAATGTATAGTCCTAATGCTGCACATTAATGGGAACCATGAAGGGGTGTTTGCCACATTCCCTTCAGACCACTCTATTGGGGTTGTAATTTGACCACAAACTGGAACACTCTCATCACTGCTAAGCCCCAGTCCATCAACATGTGTCAGCACATGTATCACCACACAATGCCCAGGCCCTCTGGGCAAAGTCGGTGGTGGTGGTGTGGGCAAAGCAGGTTTAGAGGCTTTTTAAAGAGAAGGCCGGCGCCAGCCTGTCTGAATATTTGTAGTTCACCTTGGAAAATGCATTGGGGTAATATGGGCTTATAACTGAACACTTCTCTCATAAAGGGTGGGTCTCACCAAAATTACTCCCTTGAAGAAATCACATGTGGCAGATAACTGTTTGTGGTTGCATGTAGTTACTAGTATGTGCAGGCAGACCATGCTGAAGCTGTGATGAGAAAACAGCCCTCTGACACGTCCTGAATCAGGCTGTGCCAATTAAAAAGCATGGGAAAATCTCAGCCTGTAGTCTCCTGGTAAGCTTTTGAAAGCTACTTAATCTCTTTTTTCCTAGAATTGTGTTCAGAAATATAGCCCAACAACCCCAGCCTTGTGAGTGCCATTTTGCATTATAACCTTTCAGAGACTAGGTAATACAGAACCAGACTAGCAAAAACTGAACGTGCCAGTGACATCTAAGAGATGGTCAAAATGGTTTTTTAGTGTATGTGTCTATAATAATAACTACAAGGAACATCTGTTTTAAAGAGTCCGTGTAGAGATTTAAAATTGAACTGACATTTTAAAATGCTACTTGTTTAATCAATATATTACAGAACATGTGCAAAACACTTCAAAACCAGTCAGTTACAGCAACAAGCATAAAACCTCTTCTCTTAATTCCATTACCTGCAAGGTTTATAGAAGTAGCTATGAATATTAGCAGTGTGTTTTCAAAGCTTGCAAATACTAAATGAAGCACCCAGCATGCTAGGCCTAGTACTCACTACAGTGCACTTAAACCATACTTCATATACCTTTTATTCAATTCTTTAGATGACTAAAGGAGGAAAAAAGAAATGTATTAACAGTTTTCAAAACCCTGATAATGTTGAAGAACCACTCATCTATCAGCCTTGCTACTCCCCATAGACATAAAATACACACATCCTTATTGACTTGATGTTGTCTGGGAGGCTGCTCATTCACACCTGCACAAAATTTGGTTCCTTAAGAATATTCCACTTCAGAGCACTTGCTCAGCAGTTTTGAACTCTTGAGGGGCTGGTATTCAATATATAGGTTTAAAGACCAGAGCACAGTCAAATACTTTCTTAAACCAAGGCTTTTACACAGAAAAATCACTTGCACATTAAGAATATTTAAATCCAAATTCTAGGTGAAATCTCCTTCATAACTTCTGGTTACTAAAACATGTGTGAGTCTCTCCCATGCTTCATGAATCTTCAGCTAACATTTTCTGACTCATGAACAGAAAAGTTCCTGTCCTTTACCACTAACAGAAAGGTGTAGGGTTTTTTAGGGAATCTAATAATATTTGCACCCTAGAAAAGTATTTCAGATTACAAAGTTACCTCTTTTTTTGCTAAAGCACTGATCCAGGACCTCCCAAAGCCCAGGAAAACAAGATATGTTTCTCATCCATCCCCAAATAGCCAATCTCCCGTGGCATTCACTTGGTTACAAGATACTAAGACATTGCACAGCTTGGAGCAGGAAAGAAAGCCAAATATCGGTCCAGCATTTCAAAAAAAACTGGTATAAGGGCTGGGGTCTTGCACTTGGAAAGCTTTATTTTGCATGAATTATCAGTCTTTAGACAGTAACTTAAATTTTCCATTTCTTGCATCCCAGGAAATCTTCTCTGCAACTTCCAGACTCCACACTAATTGCATAATGGTACAGGATTACTGTTCCAGAAATTCAATCCCCTTCAAGACTGCTGATACGCTTCTATGAAGGAGAAAGTGTCGCAGCTCCCTCACAAACAAGTCTTGTAGCACAAGAACAACCTTGGAGGACACAGGCTGTTAATGATTAACCTGCAAGACCCTCTGACAGCAGCATACAACTGACAGCTGTATGAGCTAGGTAACTCAAGTCAAGCAGATTCACAAAGGATGTTTTTCACATCCAGAAAGGACCGTTACAGACATGAACCTCACATGCACATTCCTACACCTAGCCCATTGCCGTGGTTTAACTCCAGCTGGCAACTGTTTTTCAGCCTTAAACAGTTATCATGGCCTCAGTGATTCAAGTGCATAACTACTGTCTATGTCTGCTCATTTTAAAAATAAAAAAACCAAACCAAAACCAAATCACAAAACCCCCACAACTCAACAACAACTCTGCTTCTGGCTTAGGTAATTTGAAATTATACTTTTTTGTTTCACCTTTAATTTTCATATAGTGAAGTACCTTTTACTATAACATTTTTTACTCCTTGGTGGATAATTAATTCTAGGTAAATTATCAAAGTGTCTCTTAGCCTTCTCTTCACAAAACAAAACCATTTTAATGGCATAAGGCATATTTTCATCTTATGCATCATCTTTACAATTCTCTCTGAGCATTCACATGACAAAAACAAATAATCCAGCAGTTTCAGAGTGGAATATCTGAGCTTGCAGCATTTCACCATAATGGCATAAGGCATATTTTCATCTTATGCAAGGTAAATAATTAATTCTCAGCCTAGGTACTGTATAAGTGTATTCTAAGTGTATTCTTACTTACATTTAGGAAAACAAATCCATCGAGTTCTTCCATTTCTTTTACTGTTGTCTCCAAAGTTTCCTTTGCTGAATCAACAGTTTGTTGGAAGTTAACCATCTGCTCATACAGGTATTCCATTTTCATCTTCTTCACCTCCTCAAAGTTCTCTGATTTCTCATCATATTGTGCTACCACTTTCTTAATCATTTCTTCATTCTGCTTTTCCAATAACTCTGCATTTTTCTTACAGTTTTCCTGCAAAATGAAAACAGATGTAAACTGATCTGCAAAATAAAATTACAACATTTAGTGAACACATGGAAACAGTAAATTACCCATACACGAGCCATCCACAAGACTCCTTCTGACATCCTGAGAATAAGAGAACTTTAGTTCTGTAAGCAAGCTCATCTGGGAGAAGTAACGCTAGAGAAATACATTAAAAACAATGGCAGGTCTTTTTTTTATTGTTCGTGTTTAAAATTAAACTTCTACATTTAAGTATTGAGACAAGAAGTCTGACTACAAAATAGCTAAAAATCCATACCTTCAACTGAAATTAATACATTCCTCAAGGCTTAAGAACTTGGACATTAAGAAGCTAAGACATTGGACAAGTTATTTAGATGCTTTACACAGGATTCTAAATAAAGACATAAACAGTGTGAGATTTTTATAAGCATAAACAAAATTAAGGGAACTTTTTTGTCCAGTGCTTGACAGTCAATTATTCCGCTTTGCAATAATGTGCAAAAAAGGTTAATCTTTTTCTTCACCTAAAGTTAACACCTTCCAGTGGGAGAAATCAGTTTGAAGACTAAAGAAACAACCCGTTTTAGTGGAAGCAATGACGACACAAAACAAAGCAACTATATCTTCGAAGTAATTTTTTAGAGGGAAGAAAAACTAGTGTGAAAAAACACTGGACTCACCTCAACAGAGTTAAATAGCAACTCAATATCACTCACAAACTCTTCAATCTTCATTGACTTTTCTTCCAATGCAGTTAGCAATTCACTTAATTGATCCTGAAATTTAAAATGTTTCAGTAATATAAGCACTTTTTAAAATAAAAGCAACTTTTTTATATAAGCAACTTATTTTAGGTGAATATTTTTATTTTGCTATTAGCCACTGCTGGAACAATTGCTAAATTAAGTTCAAGTATCTCTCTGGCTATGAAGACAAGTGCAGAAATAGCAACTGGAACAGGCACAAAACTATTTCCAAACAAAAAAAATGTGAGCTTAGTTCAACAAGGTGCTGAGTGTCTATACAAGTTGTTGAATGCTACAAATTCCAGTGCAGTTTTGATAGGTACTGAAGGTACTCAGAGCCTAATGAGGGTCCTCAAGAGCTTGCAGGAAAAAGCCCATAAAAAGGAAGATAATGCAGCTAATTATAAGGCTAATAGTTTATGCAGTGTCATGATTTTTTTAATTAGAATTTTAAAGGTAATTTCTATAGACGAGGATTCATCAAAATCACTGGTTGAATTAGATGTGGAAATAAAAGCAGTTCAGGAAACTACAGGCATCAGAAACCACTCTGAATTTTTTCTCAGTCCTCCTTGACCTTTTGTGAAAGCAAGCTGGCCATCTGCTCGGGTGCAATTTATAATTTATAAAAATACTGAGGTTTTAATTCTCTGACATAAATCTAAAAAGAAGGTTAACTTCCTTCGGTAACAGCTTCCTATTATGGCAGACTTCTACAGCTAGATCTGTTGAAAATGAGCCTTTGACTTCCCATTAATTATACATGTCACATTGGACTGTACAATAGAAGGTTTGCTTTATAAATATTGAGGGCAAATCACCAAGATTCAGAGGCAAATTTCTGTTTGTCAAGAGTATCTACAAAATCTGACAGATGCCATCCACAGCTCATTTCATTTGCTGTGAAGCTATGTTCCTACCGTTAAAATTTAGATGACAAGCATTTTGCTACCTTAATGTTTCTCAGTAGTGACGTAGAAGTAACAAGAAACATACCAGTGCTGTCTCAGAGCAACCTGAGTCCTGTGTGCTAGAAATCATGTGAAGCCAAGCTTGTGTTGTGGCCAGATTTAATATTGGCTTCATGTCCATGGTGCACAGCCAGAGAGTGATGTCATGGGATGTTTATTTGCGGCTTAACTTGGCTCTCTGCAATGCAGGTACATTCAAGTGATGGCTGGGGTCTGTGACTTTATTACTGACTTACTGGTGGCTAATTATCACTTCTAAGTCAAGCATGAATGGCCATATAAAAAAAGCAACTCTGCTGTCATACATCTGCACACCATGGAGATAGTTTGTAAATATTGATATTTGAGACCACCACACTGACTCCTCCAACTTTTAATTTCTTTCTGGCATATAAATTAATATAAAGATAACATAATTACCATTGATATAAACCCTTCTAGAATTTTAATGAAATTACACAAAATGTGTACGACCATCAACCAAACACGTGCCAGGAAAGAGACCTCACCTTTCAGATTCTGGGACGATATTAAATGGCTGGTAAGCAAGAAAGGAACATCTGTATACTTGTACAGGAACAAATGTGATATGGGAAAAGTGAGACATCACATGCATGCTGTTTTCAGAAGCAGAACTGCAATTTAATGAAGAATAGCTTCCACAGAAATGAACATTTTCACTAGTACTGATAGCAAAGGACTAGGTTACTGAAACGGAGAGGATTTTTATCTATGTTGTAGAGTGGTACAGCTTAGAGACAGTGGGAAGAACTAGGACTTGCTAAACTCTTACCTGTGCTATAGCTAAAACACTATTGGCACAAATTAACATGAACTGAACAGAAAATAAGGGTGAAATTTCAACAAAACTATGCAGTATAAACTGTATAACTTGTCTAACATCTCCAAGCAACCAACACACATAACTGGGATGGAGAATTTTGTGATGATAGTAGTCCCCACATACAGGGTTTTCTGTACCTTATCAAGTGACATGAGCTGCTGTTGCTAAAATTTTCTTTTTATAGAAACAACCTTCTTCTCATTTCTCCCCCTACATATCCAAACCAGAACAAACTTACACAGGTGAGCTGGCTAAAAGATTGGAAGTCTGGTAACAGATAAATATAAATTATTTTATTCAAACTTATGAACAAGTAAAAACATCAGCTTAGCAAGCCTAGGGCTCTAGAGAGTACCTTAGTAAGAGAGTGTCCCTTCAAGATCTCTAACAGATGTTTAGGAATAGTTTTTATTTTATAGATACTGTGATTTAGCCTCTGGAATGCTTTCTGAAGCCTCTCCCCTGACAATGCAAGAGGTCTGGAAAAATTAGCTTCAGTAGCTTCTTCCTTCGCCCAAATTAACTCTTACCTTCATCTTGGCTGCAGCATCATCTAGTGTTGTGACTTCATGGTCTTTATGTTCTCCAAAAAGCTTGTCAATAGCAGATATTGGGCATTTGCAGTGGTGACAATATGTGTCTGCTTGTGCTTTTTTCAGTTCTCTTTGTGGGCTCTCAACTTGAGGAATGTTTGTTGCTTTTTCAGGATACATCACCACAAAGCCTGAATCTTCAAGCTCAACAGGTGTTCTTTGCTCTGGCTCATTAACAAATTCATAACTATCACCAACATTCTCAAAAGAATCCCTGTCTTCAAATAATAGCTCCTCGTGTGTGAATTGAGATGATAGTTCATCTTGCAGAAGTTCTTCTTGCATAATCACATCATAGTCCATTGACTCAGCGAGATCTTCATGAACATCAGGGTGCTGATCCTCCCTTTGCAAACCTGGCTCCTCTGTTTGCTGAATGGTAGAGACACGTGAAAGATTTTCCTGGGTATACTGATCATCTTCACTGTCTTCAACAGGAGTCCGGACACACGGGACATATTTTTCCATCTCAGGAACTGCTGCTATTTCATGCTCTTCTTCCTGTTTATTACTAGCTTCTTGATATGCAGCTCCTTGATCATCCACTAGTTGACTATACACTTGATGACTTGATTGCTCTGGTAACTCCTCAGTTGTTTCTACAGGCACATTTTCTTCCTCTCTTTGTTCAGTGGTATCACTCCTTGCACCTGAAAGAATTAGTCGGCTTCCAAAAGGAATGGCATGCATTGGTTTACAAATTGTTGCTTGAACGTCACTGTCAACCTGGACTTTCTGTCTCCCCACACCACCCCTTTCTGGCAGAACCTCAGTTCTGACATGTTGAACATCACCAGACCCCTGCTTGCGATTGCCCTCTGAACTCTGAACTGAAATTCCTCCACTAAAGGACTCAGTCTCTGGAATCTGATCCTTTTGAAGCCCTATGGCCTTACTTGGAATTTCATCTTTAAGAATGTATTTTTCAAAA